AATGTTATTAATAAACTAAAATACTAACAGCAGCTTCATTAGCTCCAGTTTTCATTACTCTGCCAAATGCTGCTGCTGTCAGGGTGAAGTCAGGTAACTGGATCAGAAAATCAAACCAGAAAAACCTTTGACCTACAGTTCAATCACAGAAAAGTTGTTCCAGACTTTTAACTTCAACCTCACAGAAACCAGATTCCAGAGTCAAATAACATTTTCTGCTTAAAAATTCCTTACAGGATAAAATCTGTTAATCATTTAAACGGAAATTCTTTCATTTCATCAGAGGGAATGAAAGGAATTTAATTCTGATCCTCTGTTTCTCTTCTGTACAGAAATATTTGAGGATATTTTCTCTTTTGATTGATTGTTAAAGACAATATCAGAAAAAACTCCTCAAAAACTTATTTTTACATCGACTGCTGAGAAAATTTACATCTTTTTTAAAGAAGAAATATCAGAAAATATTAACCTTAATAACCTGGAGAGGTAATGTTTTTACATCTGATTATATTTATTATCAGTACAATAAATCACAGTTACTAAATTACGAAATTTATGAATTACAATCGATTCCAATATTTTTTTAACAACATTCCTTAAAACATAACAGGTAACGTCTGTTATCTATGAAATGAGAAACAGTCCAGATTCCTTTTTTATTCCAATTATCAATAAATGTAGATGTTCTATTACTCAGAATGGATCTATTATTCCACTTAGGGCTGTCAGTGGGAAATAAAATTAGGAATAAAAATTAACCATCCATTCATTTTCCGTCATGCTTATACCAACCGAGGAAGCCAGAGTACCCAGAGAGAAACCACTAATGCTCAGGGAGAACATGCAGAAAGACCCCGGGGCGGGAAACGAACCCACAACCTTCTTGCGGAAAGGCAGCAGTGCTACCCACTGTGCCACTGAACAGCCACATTTAAAATAATTTTATTTTATTTTTTTTTTATTCATGTCATGAATAAAAATAAATTAATTTGTTTCCAATAAAGAATAATTTGTTTATGAAAACCAGACAGCTGTTGACACTTTAGTTTAAGTTCAGTTTCTTTTTTTCTTTCATTAATCAAATTGTTCTGTTAACTTTATTTTAATAGTCAGAGTCATTCTTTTAATTACAGTCTGTAGACCAGACAGGGTGGTGGTCTGTACAGATTCCATAGAAAGTATCAGAGAGAAGGAAAAGATAGAAAAGATTCAGTATTAGAAAACCAGCACAGTCTATTTAGATTATCTAGGGCTGGCATTGATAGTTGGTTATGTTGGGTTCCGACACATGAAGGTTTAAAAGGCAATAAAAAGCAGATATATGAGGAAAAAATGACTTTAGAGGGAAAATAATCATTACAATTCCTTTTGGGAAGGGAAATAACTTATTAAGAGTAAAGAAATGGAAAAAATGGCAAAAGAGGTTGAATGAAGATAAGAAAGGAAGATAATTATATAAAGTACAAAAATCAGTATTAAATAAAATCATTAATGAGAGAAACAGAAGTAATAATAATGATCAGATTAAGAGAGATTAACTATTTAAATGACAATTTATGTTTATTGGGAGGAAAAGTAATGATAAATGTGAAGGATGTAGAGAGAAAATATAGAACAGCTACTGATGATCTATAAAACTAATGAACAGGAAGGAATAGTTTGGAAAATGAAGGAAATATAAAGAATATTCACAGATTATGGAAAAGATAATTTATTTATCTACAGAACACTAAATTAAAAAATAGAATTTGATGTAAAGTAATGTTGATACACACCCATTTATATAGAGGACCAACTCTGCCATATTTAAAAATAAATACAGAAATAAATAAATAAATGCTCAATAAATAAATAAGCATAGAATTAATTGCCACCAAAAATACAATAAAGAAAAAAATTTAAGTAGAAATAAAATGATACAACTCTTTTAATAAGCTTCTTTATTTATTTGTCTTTGCAATATTAACCTTTACCTTTTTAATTACTTACATTTTTAAGTATGTATTTATGTGCATTTTATAATATTTTTGTCTGTTTTATTCTTTGAATTTTTTTACCCTAGTTAATTCTTTGTCGCTATTTATTTCTGCCTGCAGAAACATGGCAGAGTTGGTCCTCCATACAGGTACAGTAGGTGGCGCTATGCAGCTTAAAGCTGCTGGCGATCCGCCATAATAGAAAAGAAGAAGATTTTCGATTTTTTTTTTTTTAAACAAAACATTTATTGAACAATGATTTAACAAAACAAAGTAAAAAAAAAAAAAAAAACTTAGTTATTATTATTACAATAGCAGCTTGTAATATTTTAGTTCTCCCGAGTCAGAAATGGTTCACAAAACATTATTAAAACCCCGCAGTTATATATATATATAAAAAAAACCTTCAAATCCTCAGTGGCTCTTTGGAGGAAAAACTCCATCCCGGCCTTGATGTTCCACAGAGACCCGCATCAAGCTGAGCTCCTGCCTGCTGTCTGTCCCTGCTAGTCAGGCAGGTAGCCAGTTTGGCTTCAGAGATTAAATAATTTAAAATCCGGGATTTAAAAATACTTATTTTTCTACATTGTCCTCCTCCAATAATAAAAAGGCTGCTAAAACTATAACTTTATGCTCTAAATTTAAAGTATTTATGTAATCCCTTTATATGCTTCTATTTACTATTGCTATTTTTACTTTTATTTAATAACTTTTTATTTTATTTTTTTCTTTCGCTCAAACCCCTGGTGATTGTTCACTGAAAATTGTACTTCTTTGTGTATTATAAAACTTTTTCTAATAAAGTTTATAAAAAAAACGTTCTGTTTTAGAGGACTTTTGTAGAAGCAGAAGAAGAAGAAGAAGAAGAAGAGGTTTTTTCTTTTCCGGTGTCGAAGGTCAGCTTCCGGTGAAGACATGGCGGCCCCCGATGAGTTGTTTTGCTGGGAAGGAGACTGGGGTTTACCGTCCGTCAGCACCGAGTGCCTGGTGGTTCTGGTGAGTTCGGACCCGGTAGACGGTGTCGGTTCGGCGGGTTTTATCTCCCACAGGCTGTCGGTTAAAGTTCGTCCATCAGGCCGCAGAATCCCGCCAGTTTAACCAGTTCAGGCGATGCTGTCCGCTGGGTTTGAATTGGAGCTATAGAAATAAACTAAATAGAATTGAATTCATTTAAAGTTATTTTTATCCTGTTGGTCTGTGGAGCTCATCAAAGTAGCATAAATGATAGAAGGAAACTTAAAATATTAAAATTAAGGAAGATAAAAGCAGAATTTTAAATAATTAGAAATATTTCTGCTTTAATTTTTTTTTCCTTCTTTAAGATGTAAATGAGCTGGAAGATCAGAGGATAAAATATCTGTCTGTGGAACCAGGAGTCACTGATGACTCTGCATTTTAGGGCAAATAGAAAACATCAGTAAAATATTAGATTGTTTATATTTTATTTATTGAAGGTTTATTAGAAATGAAGAATAAAAGTGAAAATCTGCTGTAAAGGAAACAGGATCCAGAGATTTTCTCTCCTTTTCCTGCTGGATTCTGAACCCTGCAGCTCCTCCATTTATTTATTTCCTCTGAGATCAGATTTAAATCAACTTTAATCCTCCAAGAAGACAAAAAAGTGTTTTAAATCTCTGCGATTAAGTTTGTTTTTAAAAGTCCAGTTTTTTTATTCTCATTTTAATTCCTTTTAGGGCTGAAAAAATGTATCAGATTAATCGATTATTGAAAAACTCGTCAACATTTAGTAATCGATGAATCAGTATGGAGATTGTAAAATATGCATTTATCTGACAGAGCGACCCGCTTAGAGCCGCAATCTTTTTAAAATTATAAAATATATATGTAAACATTTTGCATTTAAGATAAAAAAAATTTTCGTCTGTAAATATAGACTTAGATCACTTTATTAATCCCATCAGGGGCAATTCATTGAGCCGTAAAGGAGACAAAAAATAAACATGTAACAACCTTAAAAAATAACATTTTCTTTTACAGATATTTTTATTTGTAATATTCAAATTAAAACTCAAACAATGACACTTTGATGTACAACATTATTCAGCTTTAACCTCCATCCCAGCCTGTATGATGAGATAACCGCTGATTCAGGCAGATGATGGTTCTATATATGCAAGATCTACAAAGCTGTGCAGCCAGTGATTAAATGACCCGTCATTAGGTGGTCTCCATCTTTGTTCCTTGATTACGGTGAGGCCTGACTGCCATATTTTCCATGTTCCTTCATGAAAAGAAAGGTGAGTCTCATCATTTCATAGATGTGCAAAAGGCTCCCAGTAAAAAAAAAAAATCAATCCTCTGGACTTTGTTTCCAAGTTGGAAGACGTTTCTCTTCCCATCCAGGAAGCTTGAGATAGAGCCCAGGTCTATTTTAGTCAGACTACGCAGCAATTCAGCAGCAATATCATGACAGGAAGAGAGACGCGGTCAGAAAGTAAAACACGTCCACTTTGGGGGAAAATAAAAAATAAAACCTCTTAATCTCAACTTTTCACCTCAGTTAAATAAATGTAGATCTATGGATTTCACTCAGTCGGCATTTTATTTTATCTTTTCAAATAGAGAACAGTTCATCAATCGGCCCTTATTGCTCGGTAATCAGCCCTGTTCTGATCTGAGCAGCGTTCGTTTCTCCTTAATGACTATAATGGAAAATAGTCAGAGTTAAAACAAATTACACTTTGGTTAAACAGTAAAATGTTATGAATAAACCTGAGAAATAATCTGCTTTGCTATGGAAGAAGCTATATCTGGTCTAGAAACACTGATGCAGTGGAACGGTGCGGCCTTACAGGTGAAACAGGCTGAGTGGAAACTTTTATAGAGAGTAAATAGGATAAATTAATATATAAAATAAGAGAAACAACATCTTCCGACCACATAATCTCACAGAGAAAGAGTCGGTCTGGAGTCGCCCATCGTGTTTATAGTGAGCAGGACAGACTGGAGCAAAAACAATAAAACATTAAAATAGAAACTTTCCCCATGATGGGAGTTCAGATAGAAACGGATAAAGTAGAGATCCTCCAGAATAAGGAGGAGCAGACAGAGCAGGTCAGCGCAGCCGATCTCTCTCACCTCTTTATGGAACAAAGAAAGAAAAACTTCCCAGATCTCTCTGAGAATCACCTCTCTGTCGCCATGGAAACCGTCCCACACAGTTTATTGGTTCGTTTTTCTGTTCTTTAGACGTAGATCTCATTATGTTTTAATAGATGAACATTCTATCTGTTCTGTTTTTGGTTGTTGCCTGGCTTGTTTAGTTGGGTTTTGGTTTTTTGGATTGCCCCGTTTTTTTTTTTACTTTTCATAATCTGTTTCAGTGAAATCTGGGAAATGGTTTTAATGTGAGTTTAGAGACAGAAGTGATAGAAATCTGCATAGATCCGCTCACCCTGCCTAATCGAAGCTTCTCTATATGCAGGCAGTGAAAGTTGTCAGCGGTGAGTTCAGGGTTTAAAGGTTTTAGGAAGCTGCTAGAATCATAGCAGCAGTTCTGCAGATATCCAGGAGGGGGCAGCAGACGCTGCTGGAAGCTGTTTCTAAACTCTTAGTCTGTGATTATTAACGGTTCCAGCTGTTGATCCAGATGTTAGTTGGATCATCTGGATCCTGGAGGAAGCTCCTCTGCAGGTTGGATGAACTTCCAGGTGGAGCAGGTGTGACCATGCAGGTGAAACTTCCTCCTGGAGAAGGGAAGACGCCGCCTGATTGGTCCATCTGGGCTGCATCAGACTGAAGGATCAGCCCTGTGATGATGATGATGATGATGATGATGATGATGATGATGATGATGAGCACCAGAGTGCTTTGCTCCCGCAGGCTGACGTTCCATGCCTGATGGCGCTCCTGTCAGGCTGCGGCGGCCTACAGACCGCAGCGTGGGCGTCGGCTCTCTGATTAAACCTGATTGGAACATGTTGGTGTTGGCCTGGCATCAGTCAGCCCTGCAGCGGTGCATGCTGGGTAACCATAGCGGTTGGAAAACAGTAGCACAGAGTCCCAGCTGGCTCCCGCTGAGCTGGCCTGTTTAGACGGGTTCTGGAGCGGCGCCGGGGGCGGGGCTTAGGCCTGCTGACAGGTGATGGGTGCTTGTGGCGAGGTGTGAGGATAGTGTGCAGGATGGACGCCCTGACCGCGCTTTAATCAACCGTTTAGGAGAAGCTGTGATGATCTGCAGCCTCAGGAACAAACGTCTCCTCCTCCTCCTCCTCCTCCTCCTCCTCCTCCTCCTCCTGAGACTCCACCGCTGCTCCTTTATGAGGAAATTCCTCCTCATTTTCCTGCTTGTAAAACCTGAGCGGGGCTCCGAACCCTCAGCCAATCGTTTTTATGTTTTTCCCTCCAGAAGGTCTGAGTCATGCGTTACTGTAAGCGTCTGAATCGTAGGAGCGGCGTTCCAACGATAACCAGACCTTCTCCTCCTCTGATCCTCTGAGAGCAGCAGAAGCTGAAGTCACGTCCTGTCAGCCTCAGATTACCGCCTTCATGCCAGCAGCTTTAATCGCCTGCAGACGGCGCAGCAGAGGGAACCTTTTCCAGATGTTCCAGCAGTTTAACTCAAACCCCTGATGAAGGCGATGAGGTCGTCTGTTTAGATCTCAGACCTTCCACCGTTTAAAAATAAACTGACTTCAGATCAGTCTGCTGCTGCTGGAGCTCCTCTGTTGGACCGACTCAACCTTTCCTCAGAAATATCACCGTCACTCGCTTTCATTCAGCTTTTAGACCAAACATTCACCACTTCACTCATTAATGTCACTTTTTTTTTTTTTTTCCCCATATTTCCTGACGAAAATATTTTATTTTTTTCCCAACTTCTGAGCCTCATTGATGGATCAGTTTTTATTTTCTCTTTTTTTTAAATGAACTTTTTACAAAACAACAAATATTCCCAACGTCTTGATCCGTTAAAATATCCCGTTAACTCTTCAGAGAACAATAACTGAATAATCGTAAAAGCTGTCGGGTTATTTTTCTAAAGGTCTCATTAAGCAAAGCTCTGTTCCACCTTCAGTCTTTCTCTCTGCGGTTCTTTTCCTGAGCAGAAATCACTGAAAACAAACTCTTTAAATAAAACTTCCTAATGTTTATGTATTAAATTAGATTATAATCTTCCTCAGATCAGAGAAGTTGCTTATAGTGACAGAAGGCAGCTGCTCACCAACCAACAGGCTCCCAGTCCCAGTTAAAGAAGCGTTTTAGAAAACTCCAGTCTGCCACATCGTCACATCAGTTTCTGTCACGCTTATCCTTGATGGCGTTGTGAGGGTCGCTGGTGCCTCTCCAGCTGTCTACGGCGTGGTGAGGAAGTCGGAGTACCCAGAGCGAACCCACGCATGCTCAGGGAGAAAACACAAACTCAATGCAGGAAAATGTCAGGCTGGGAATCGAACCCAGAACCTTCTTGTTGCTAGGCAACCGTGCTACCCATTACCCCACTGAGCACATATGATCAATGTCCAATAAAGAAGAATCTGTTTATGAAAACCAGACAGTTTTAGTGGCACTTGATAATTCTTAATGGAATCATTACATCATCACGTCGTCGCATCATCGTATCGTTACTTCGTACATCACGCATGTTAGCAGATGAGGAGACCTCCATGGCTCCATCCTCGTCAAAATGTTCCACTATGTTCTCAGATACAGGAAACGCTCCCATTTAATCCCGTTCCCATTTAATCCCGTTCCCATTTAATCCCATTCCCATTTAATCCCGTTCCCATTTAATCCCGTTCCCATTTAATCCCGTTCCCATTTAATCCCGTTCCTATTTAATCCCGCTCCCATTTAATCCCGTTCCCATTTAATCCCTCTCCCATTTAATCCCATTCCCATTTAATCCCATTCCCATTTAATCCCGTTCCCATTTAATCCCATTCCCATTTAATCCCGCTCCCATTTAATCCCGTTCCCATGTAGAGATTGATGTTTTATCGTAACAGACGAACTTTCCTGAAACATCAGTTCTGATACGCAACAGGAAGCTAATATTAGCATTTAACAAACATCAATAATATTAATAATCCGAACAGTCTGAGACTCATATGTTGAAGAAACGCAGTAAAAAGTCGAAAATTTTCAAAATTTTCTGAATTTAAAAAGAAATAAAAAAAAAAACATCCATTTTAGTGTAACAGCAATATTTACTACTAAAAATGAAAACATAAAAAACACAACATAACTTTAATCAAATCAAACTGTCCGCTTAGGAAGCAGCAGTGATTGACAGCCAGGCTCACATGCTGCTCTGCAAATGGAACGTTAGCTAGCAGTGGTTCACCAACATCTGCTCCGTATCTCTGCTTTCTGGCTGATGTTTTAGTCACTTTTCAGTGTTGGTGATGCTTTCACACTCGTGGAGTCGGACTCTCCAGTGAACACCAGTGGCTGAGGTAGTGTAGCTCCTCCAGGATGGAGCATCAATGCCAGCTGTGGCCAGAAGGTTTGCTGCGTCTCTCAGCGTAGTGTCCAGAGGCAGGAGGCGCTACCAGGAGACATGGAGGAGGCCGTAGGAGGGCAGCAACCCAGCAGCAGGACGGCTAGCTCACCCTTTGTGCAAGGATGAAGCACTGCCAGAGTCCTGCAGAACCACCCCCAGCAGCATGTGTCTGCACACATGGTTAGAAGGCGACTCCATGAGGATGGTATGAGGGCCTGACGTCCACAGATGGGGGTTATGGGGTTGGGCAGGATGCTTGGCATTTAGCAGAGAACACCACTGGCTCCCTGAGCTCTTCACATGGAAGCAGGTTCACACTGAGCACCGTGACCGACGTGACAAAGTCACATGGAGACACAGTGGAGAGTGATCTGCTTCCTGCAGCTGGACCAGTTTGGCAGGGGGTCAGTGATGGTGGGGGGCGGGCGCAGACGGCCCTCCACCTGCCAGCCAGAGGTCGCAGGACTGAGAGCACCTCCTCAGACCCCCGCTGAGACCATCTACCGCTCTGGTTAGCCCTGGGCTCCTCCTGAGTTTTGTCTGATTCTGTTTTCAGCACATTTAAATTTCTACAGAACGAAGTATTCGATGAGATTATTTCATTCCTTCAGATCCAAGATGTATTTTCTCAGTGTTCCTTTGTGTAAAATGACGGTGAGAATGAAATACCAGCATTCAAATGTAGATTTACTGGTTTTACTGGGAGTCTGTGGATCCGAGGGGAACCAGGGGGGTTAAAGGTTTTTCTAAACACTAGAAGGAAAAACATGAAAATGAAACGGATGATTCCCTCAAAGCAAAGCTGGACAAGAACTAAGGGGCCCCTGAGAGCCAGAGGCTAAACTCCTCCTCCTCCTCCTCCTCAGGCCTACGCTCAGTTCGCTGGAGCTCCGCTGAAGCTTCGGAAGATCTGCAACCCCTGGAGGAGTCCCAGTGGTGAGACCTTTTAACGGCGCTGCGCTCCGCACAAAAACATCCAAAATCTTCAACCTCTGCTGCCTTTTATGGTTTCCTCAGGTTCACTTCCTGCTCTGAGGACCAATCAGAAAGAAACTCTGTCCAGACCCTCTGACATCATCATCCACCTCAGGAAACAGGTGAGTCCCCCCTCCCTTTTTCTAAATAATGCCAGCAGGTCGGTGCTGAGTAGCTAGCAGCGAGTGCGGCTATGGTTAGCTAGCTCCGCCTCCATCTACGGTCCATCGACAAAACCTGCAGATAGGACTCCAGAGGAGGCTGGGTTATTTAGGACTCTATGTGAGACCAAGGATTTTAAATCCTAGTCTGGATCTAACTGGTTCTGCAGCTGGAAGACATTACCCAGCATGCCCTGGGGGGCCGGAAGCTGAAGGTTCCATTCCCATCAGCTTCTGTTCAGCTTCTGTAGCTTCATTTAGGAATGTTCTGGTTTCTCTGCTGGTTCTGATGAACAAACCTTGAAGTGGTTCCAGCGGGAGGAGCCGGTCTAGAAAGGAAGCAGCGCTGATACCGTATGGAGTCACATTTGTTCCACTATTCCACAACGAGCAAAATGGAAATCAGAAAAAAAAAAAATGTCTCAAAATTAAACTTTGAAGAATGTTTCAATTAGAAAAAAGGTTTACTTCTTCTTTAGACTCATCTTTCCAACAGAGTTTTATTAATTTCATTCTATTCAAATTGTGTTTCCAGGTTTAATTCTCCTCCTCTGGGGTCAGGGCTTTCCTCTTGACTTCTATTGGTCAGTGTGTCCGTGAGACACAATTTCAAAAGAATGCATTTCTTAAAACTATCAAATCTGTAAAAAAAAAAACAAAAAAAAAAACATTTAAAAATATCTAAATCTAAGACATTTCCAAACTTTGCAAAAATAGTGGTGCAAATCTTACTCCATAGCCCTGGAGCTGGTTCTCCAGAGGTCCCTGTAAGCGCCAGCTGGGTTCCTTTGGCGGGGCGGTTCTGGGTCCTGGTCTGGGTCCTGGTCTGGGTCCTGGTCTGGGCGGTTCTGGGTCCTGGACTGGGCGGTTCTGGGTCCTGGACTGGGCGGTTCTGGGTCCTGGTCTGGGCGGTTCTGGGTCCTGGGTCCTGGACTGGGCGGTTCTGGGTCCTGGTCTGGGCGGTTCTGGGTCCTGGTCTGGGCGGTTCTGNAAAAAAAAAAAAAAAAAAAAAATCTCAAAATTAAACTTTGAAGAATGTTTTAATCAGAAAAAAGGTTTACTTCTTCCTTACTCATTTTTCAAATTAAATTTTATTCATTTAACAGACGTTATATTTTCAGATGTATTTTCCAACTTTCTCTTTTTTCCAACAGAGTTTTATTAATTTCATTCTATTCAAATTGTGTTTCCAGGTTTTATTCTCCTCCTCTGGGGGCGGGGCTTTCCTCTTGACTTCTATTGGTCTGCTGGACTTTAGAAACGTTGTAATTGGTCAGTGTGTCCGTGAACAGTGAAGTGAAAAAAAATGTGATCCGTGAGACACAATTTCAAAAGAATGCATTTCATAAAACTCTTAAAACTATAAAATCTGTAAAAAAAAAAAAAACAAACAAAAAAACATTTAAAAATATTTAAATCTAAGAAATTTCCAAACTTTGCAACAATAGTGGTGCAAATCTTACTCCATAGCCCTGGAGCTGGTTCTCCAGAGGTCCGTTCAAACTCCAGCCGGGTTCCTTTGGCGGGGCAGTTCTGGGTCCTGGTGTGGGTGGTTCTGGGTCCTGGTCTGGGCGGTTCTGGGTCCTGGTCTTGGCGGTTCTGGGTCCTGGTCTGGGCGGTTCTGGGTCCTGGTCTGGGCAGTTCTGGGTCCTGGGTCCTGGTCTGGGCGTTCTGGGTCATGGGTCCTGGTCTGGGTCCTGGTCTGGGCGGTTCTGGGTCCTGGTCTGGGCGGTTCTGGGTCCTGGTCTGGGCGGTTCTGGGTCCTGGTCTGGGCGTAAACTCTCCCCCGGTTTGTTTTTCCTCAGAAATACAACGCAGACTACGACCTGTCGGCCAAGGAGGGAGCCGACAGCCTGGCCTTCATCTCCCTGCTGGAGGAGAAGCTCATGCCGGCTCTGGTAAGATGGTTTCCACCCGTCCTGCTCACGCCCGCTTTCCTGAACCCGCCCTTCAACCTCTGGGTTGGACTTCCTGCAGATCTACACCTTCTGGATCGAGCCAAAGAACTACGTAGAGGTGACCCGCCGCTGGTACGCCGAGCACATGATGTTCCCCCTGAACTTCTTCCTGCCGGGCCGCATGCAGAACCGGCAGCTGGAGAAGCTGCGTCTGCTGAGAGGAGACCAGAACCTGGAGGCCGGAGAGGAGCTGGAGAAGGAGGTGAGAGGAAGAGCTCCTGGGTTCTGCAGAGGAACAGAACCAGGATCTGCAGGTCCTACAGCAGCCAGGGAGCGGTCTGAGCTTTGACTAGGCCACTGCAGCTCCTCCATTCTGCCATAGTGGTTCTGTTGATGAGCCAGTTTGGTCCAAGCTGCAGCTGCTGGACAGATGGACTCAGTTCCAGAACATCTGGAGGAGGTCATGGTCCACTGATAACCTGTTTGGTCCAAGCTGCACTTGGTTCCGTCCATCATGGTCCAACATCTCTGCTCTCATCTGTCCAGAACCGAGGATCTTCGTTACGCTGCATGATTGGCTGAACGTTCCCACATGACGTAAAACACTGTGGTTGCCCAGACAACGGTGATAACATCACGCAGCATCGATGTGGCGAGTCGGGAGCATCTGTAGCGTTAGCGTTAGCGCGTCTAATGACCGATGAAGTTTACCTGATCAATAAAACAAAATAAATCTGTTTCTGGTGAACAAAGTGACTGTTAGAGTAGCGCTGTGGCTAGCTGTGCTCACTAGCTAACAGGCTAGCCTCTTTTAGCTCAGTCAGTTAGCCACAGTAAGCTACGCTAATTTGAACCTTGCGTCAACAACAACCATCGTTTTCAACACGTAGCATAAATGTTATTTTCTTTTTCTAAAATCGATGAAAGTCATTTTTTAGGATTTTCCATTTTTCCTCCTCTGACCTCAGATCTTAATAAAATAATAAAAATAAGCTTTTAGTGTCTCGTTGTTAAATAGCAGAGCTCAGTCTCTTTCCTTCCAGACGATGATTGTTTTCTACTTTAGATCACTGATAAAATGTTAAATAACAGTAAATATAGAGAATAATATGTTGAGACTCCAGGAGAGATTCGATCATTAAAAAACGGATGAATCCAGTTTGTCAGAGTGGCGTCGCCATATGATGATGTCATAAAAAGGGACGAGCAGATCTGGTAGCTCCAGCGGGCTCCTTCTGACGCTCCTAACAGAACCAGGAGCTGAACTCGGGTTCTTCTGGTCCAGAACCTCTTAATGGAAGATGAGGAGCTTTATGGCTCCTGATGATCTGAGCTACAGAACCTCTCCGGGTCTCTGCGGTTCCTCTCTGGGTTCTGTTTTTTTTTGTGTGGAAGAACTCGGTTCTCCTGTTGCCATGGTGACGGGGTTTCTGTGTTTTAGTGGTCGGAACAAGTTCAGAACGGCCCAGAGCCTCCGCTTTTGGACCGATTCTGAAGCAGAACCGCTCAGAGATCCAATGGAAGCTGCAGGACGGTCGGTGTTCCCACCAGAACCTAATGACCTCAGATCCCGCCCCCTACTGGTGCTTTAAGGTCGGTTCTGGTTAGCTGACCCGTTTGGATCTGTGTCTTCCAGCTGTACCGGGATGCTGCAGAGTGCATGAACCTCCTGTCTCAGCGACTTGGATCCCAGAAGTTCTTCTTTGGAGACTCGTAAGTTCTGACCCGGTTAGTCTCTCCTGTTCTAAAGCTGTGATCCGGGCCTCTGAGGACCCAGACCGGGTCTGTGTTCCTGAACTTTCTGTCTCTGCTGGAAGGTGTCTGGTAGCTGCAGGTTGTGCCAGCGGGTCAGAGGATGTTACAGTGACGCTTTTCCCCGCAGGCCTTCGTCTCTCGACGCCTTCGTCTTCGGCCACCTGGCGCCGGTCCTGAAATGGAAACTTCCCAACGGGAAGCTGCAGCAGCACCTGAAGAACCTGGACAACCTGACGGACTTCTGCACCAACATCCTGTTGCTCTACTTCCCCAGAGACGGCCCGGGTGAGGCGGCGGCTGTGGGTCTGGACCTGGAACCAGTCCCTGGCTGGTTCTGGTTCTGGTTCTGGTTCTGTTTGAGAAGAAAACATGGAAATAAGTTTAGTTCGTTTAGAGGTTTTTTCCTTTGGTCTGAAAATATTTCAATCAATCATCAAACATTTGATTATAAATGGAGAAAATATAAATAATCTGTTCTTAGCTGCTGGTAAAAGTTTTCAAACCCTTTAAACTTTTCCTCCTTTTGTCTCTTAGAGCCTCGAACTTAAAGTCCAACAGGCTGGCTTATAAATAATAATAAATAAATAAATAAATGAAAACTGTGTAAAAGTATTCAACCCCCTGAGGGAAAACTTTGTGGAGGCTTGTTCTGCTGCAGGTCTCCTGCTGAAACATCTGCTGGTAAACAGCATTTCTCTGCATCAGGTGGAGTTCTGGGCTTTGACTAGGCCGCTCTGACCGATCAATGTTCTGTTGTAGACCGTAATTCTGCCGTCGCTGCTGGTGAACAGGACGTCCTGCGGCTCGCCTCCTTCGGGGGTTTAGGTGGGCGGTCCTCTCCTAGCAGGGTCACTGTCTCCTTTCCACTGAACAGCCTAAAGCTGCGTTCACACCAACGGCCTTATGAGCGTTAAAAACGATTAAACAGAAATCTGGACGCTGGTCGTGTTCCTTTGACGCTCTTTGACGTCCTTAAGGAACCTTTTGCTCTCCGACTATTAATCAAAAAAAAAACCCTACAGAATAATCGACCTGTAAAATCATCTTTAGTCGCAGCCCTAATCCAGATCATGATCCTGATGCAGGATTTTGTGAGATCAGGATATTTAGCGGAACAAGCAGTTCCCCCCTAAACCAGAGGGGGGCAGCAGAGACCATTCAGCATCGGACTCAAAGAGTCTGCAGGTTTTTACTGAAGCAGGAAAAAGGAAACGTTCTCGGTTTGTTAGCAGGATGGATTGAAAACTGATGAAGGGATTTTATGGATATTTTCACTTCAGTCTGACGAACGATTCATTTAAACTTTTAATGATCCAGGTCAGGTTTGAGTTTACGCTACAGGTGGAGATCAGAGTACGGGGAGAAACCCGCCGATCGGCGCAGCTTTGAGCGCTTTACTACTTTTATATGTTTTAGAACGAGCTGATAGAAAACCAGAGAAACGAAGGTTTCAGAACAAAAACACGTTTCTATTTAAGGTTCTGAACTTCCATGGGAGGAGCTGGAATCACCGCCGTCTGTTTCTTTCCTCAGCAGAAAACTGCGGTCAGAAAGCGGCGCCGCAGCCGGACGGCGGAGACTTCGACAACGTCCCCAACAAGCGGCGGAAGCAGTTCCTGTCGGCTCTGTTCGCGTTCGGCGCCATGCTGAGCTACGCGCTGCTGACCGGCATGGTGTCCATCCAGCACGCCAACCAGGAGGCGCTGGAGGAGCCGCCTGATCTGGAGCACATCGGATCCCATGACCACGAAGAAGAAGGCGACGGCTGAAACTGAAGGACGATACGGGACCTAGAAATGTTCCAAATAGAGTTTCTAGATCTATGGCACCAACCAGACACCTCGTGGGGGGAGGGAGAGGGGGGATAATTTATCAGAGCTTCTGAGGAGACAGGAAGTGGGAAATAAAAGTCATGGACCTCACTGCTGCTTCTTTGTTCTTCTTGCATATTTCACACTTTATCATTGACAGGATGCAGTTCTTCTGGACCCTTCCGTAATAACATCCAGGGGAGGTTTGATAATGGGGGGGGGGCAAAATAATACATTGTTTTGAGAGCAGGCTGCGCAGGAATGTTCGGTCACCGTTTCAGTTACCTCATTTACCCTACCCTTGAATAACCGTGCCGAGGCCGGTCCGAGCTCAGTAACTGAGATAACTTATGGTGTGTAAATGGAAAGCAAACTGAACCGGACCAAGCTAGACACAACCGGACCGAGCTAGACACAACCGGACCGAGCTAGACTCAACCGGACCGAGCTAGACTCAACCGGACCGAGCTAACTGCAGACCAGTTCCAGAGGTGGGCTCGGCTCGGCTCTCTGATAACGAGCGCATGAGCAGAACGTGTCATCTCCGTCTGGCTGCACATCTGATTCACATTCCATTCCAGTAGGTGGTGGTAATGCCCCTCCGGAAGTTGCACAGAAGAAGAAGAAAAACTATAAACAACAATCCAAATCTTCTCCACGCAACATTTTAAATAATAACACCGAAGTTCAGCAATAATAATCAAGCATAACTTTCTGAATGTGACGGGCGCCGCCATTTTGATTTGCTTGATTCCCTCCTTCGTTGTTTTCTTCTTCTTGTGTTTTCTTGTGTTTTGTTGCATTACCGCCACCAACTGCTTGGTTTCCTCCTTCAATACTGGCAGTAATACCGCAGATCGTCACTAGGAGGCGAGGAACCGAGATAGCGTGATGTGTAAACGGTCGTCAGAACCGAGCTCAGCCTGGTTAACTGATCCGAGCTCGGACCGGGTCTCTGTATGGTCTGATGGATCGGTTTTTCAAGGGTAGAGTAAATGAGGTAAGTCTTTTCTTGCTGGCTCCATGGGGGGATCTAATATTCCAAATCTGTTGGCTTTGAAGCGAGCGTGCCCATCCAAGATATTATCCAATCTCACCTTTGAGTTCAACCACCGCTGCCAGCCTGCGCTCAGTCGCACCCAGCATACGGCTCAGCTAACGGTCCTGCTCGTTCACAGCCTTTCTGAGCGCATCAACCGCTGCCAGCAGCCTGATCATTCCCCAAATTCCCACCGACATCCTCTGTAATCGTAGATACATCAGGGATCCTCCAAATCCAAACAGGAGAAATCAGAGAATCATAAATCCGAAAATCCACACATCTTCGAAATCCTCCACTGACAACGCTGTAAAACACACCATCCTCCAAGCCTTCCAGGAGTCCATGGTGTCTCTCAAGTATGTCCCAGCAGGACAATATGGGTCCCCTTTTCCTTGTCTTCCAGTTGAGAAAATTTGATCAACTGCATGAAGAGACCAGCTGACCAGATCTATTGTTAGAGTTTGGGTGATATGAGGAGAGCTCAGAAAGACACGGGACAGCAGGGAGGTGCAGGAGCAGCAGGGAAATCCTAATTGGCTAATTTGGATCAACTGGAGCCTGGAGCCGGACGCTCCGCTTTACCGTATTAACAGGAGAAGAGGAGCAAGTGAAGTTAGACGCCGCCATCAGACAACATGCGATAATTTATAAATGTTTTAAATCAGGTTGGGTCCGGATTAGCCAGCAGGTGGATCCGGATCCGGACCGCGGTCCGCTAATCCTCTGCTATAGAGTATGGTTTACTGGAATATGGGAGCGAATGTGATCTGAAACAGAGTTATATTCAACTTTGCTGTGATGATGCAGAAATAATGGATCCCTCCTCTGCAGACATTTGACCATTTTGTTCATTTCATTCAATTCAACTTCAATAGATTTTTTGTGGTACACAAAAGTCACCAACTTATTTTTCAGTTTTTTATTTAAACATTGAGCGTTTCTTCCTGTCCTGAAACCGAGTGAAGGGAAGCAGTGGCTCCACATCCCGTCATCCTGCTGAATCGGCCTTTAGTTGGAAAATGAACATCAGTCCTGATGCAGCAGCAGCTCCTTTAACAGTCGGCTGAAAGTTTGAGTGTTAAACCGTTAACCTGCTTCTGGGCCAAAAGTCCGATCCATTTAGCTGCTTCTGTAAGTTAGAGAGTTTAGATTGTTTTTGTTTGTTCACTTCCACCAGGATGTTTGATGATGTCTTTTTATAAAGGCGTAAAGCTTCGTTTGGAGAAATTTGCAGGAATCTGGTTCAGAGAGAAAAAAACCTAATAAACCCCAAACTCAGAGGGAGGGGGGTCATTTCCCATCAGAAGGAAAACAAATTAAAACCAGTTTTTTTAGATATTTTTCCTGAACTGGAAAACAAAATGTTTCAGTACAGAAAGTGATTTTTAGTGGGATGAGTGAAGCTTGTTGAAAACATGGACGCCCATCCAGGGTGGGTCTGGACCCCCTGAGACATCCAGCTGCACATGACGGCACCATCCAGGAATCCTGCTGTTAACGGAGCTTAATGAGCCGATCTGGAAACAGTTTGTGGAGCTGAACTCCTCCTTTCAGTTCTGGCTGAGAAAACCGAGGGCAGATCCAGAACAGACACAGAACCGGCTGATTGATGGGAGTAAAAACTGACTGATGGGAGTAAAAACTGATTGATGGGAGTAAAAACTGACTGATGGGAGTA